TGCACTCTTTCTGGAGTCTCCACATCTTTTCTACATCGTGGCAACCAAAACTGGATGCCGTATTCCAAGTGTGGCCTTTCCAAGGCCTTATAAAGTGGCATTAAGACTTGACGTGATCTTGATTCTATCAAGGCACTGTATGAACTCTGTCCTTGGGTGTCCTTGGCCCCAGGCCCACTCTGATACCCACAAGACAGTGCATGATATCATGTACAATAAAACACTTCGGTAGAAGCGGACGGGAAAAAATAATCTTGCCATGAGAGCCCGCTCTGCTTGTTTGCTTATTTTTATTTGATTTATTTCTTTCCCACCTTTATTATTTTTAGAAATAATGCAAGGCAGAAAAATATTTCATACTCTTTTTTCCCCTTCCTATTTTCCCTACGATGATAGCCCCATGGGGTGGGCTGAGAGAGAGGGACTGACTCAGAGTCACCCAGCCGGCTTTCATGACTAGCTCTCTAGCCTGGTGCCTTAACCACTAGGCCAAACTGGCTCTCATCTCCTTATAACATCTCATAAATCCCTAATTTGTAAGAGTATTATGGGTTCTCCAACCTGTTTCTCCAAACCGATGCCAAGGTAACTTGGGCTGTGAGCAGAGGTGATCGTTGCCTGCCCTGATGTTTGTTTGCAAAGATCCCGAGATGTGGAGGAGCTGCTTGAAAATGGCCCAGATTTTAGAGTTCATATGAATATTTCAAGATCTCAGGCAGGCAGGGATTGCGGGGGGGGGGAAGGGTAAGGGGGGGGGTCTTCTCTCCTAGCCTCTGAGTTTTGCCTGGGGACCTATCATTGCCAATTCTCACCCTCCGTGCTCTGGGCCAGGTGATCCCTTCTAAGCCAGGCCTGTCAAATGGAGTGAGGATAATTTGATCTGTTGTTTCTCCAGACTTGACGGGGTTTTAACCATTTTGTATGATTATTTTGTATCGGGAGCGTGGATCTGTCAGCTCGGCTGGCCCTAGGGAAGGAAATAATGAACCCCCAAATGAACTGAAAGACAGATGGGGGTGGGGAACGGGGACGCACGCTCTGGTGTCTTGTTCTATATATTTTTTTCTGTTGACTTACACCCACTTTGTCATGGTTGGGAAGGCAAGGTGGTGGCCACACCCGTGTGTCTGGAGCCCTGTGCTCCTCCAAGCTTCTTGAATGAGAAGCAAAATGTTCTCAAGGGGGGGGGGGAATCAAGGAAGCCCAGTTGCCTGGGTCAGCCATGGCTGAATGATGGAGAATCTCCATAGACAAGGTCAACAGTTGCAGGTAACTGAAGAGGACATCTTAAAGACAAAAGCCACCAGACCCAACCTTAATGCAGCAAATGGTTTTTGCCAAAAGAAATGGAGGGCCTCCTTTCCGATGGATTCCATTAGACCAGGGGTCAGCAACCCACAGCTCTGGAGCTGCATGTGGCTCTTTCATCCCTCTGCTGCGGCTCCCTGTCACTCAAAATATACGTCACAAACGCCAACGTGCGACACTCGCTGGCATGCAATTTATTAAGCTTTTTGACCCTCGGTAGACCCACCATGGATCAATCCAAGAAAAGTTTCAGAAGAAAACAGAACGTTTAATTCAACTCCATATGCTAGTTTTGTAGCTGCTCAGGAAATAGTCAGGCACCGGAAGGGTTTTGTGGCTCCCGGTGTTTTCTTTTCTGTGGGAAACGGGTCCAAGNTCTAGGAGAGGGTAGATATAAAAAAAGAAGAGACTGAATAACAGAATACCAGAGTTGGAAGGGACCTTGAAGGTCTTCTAGTCCAACCCCCTGCCCAAGTAGGAGACCCTGTATGCCATGTCAGACAAATAGCTGCCCAGTCCTGCCTTGAAAGCCTCCAGTGATGGGACGCCCACCATTTCTGAAGTCAAGCCGTAGATTGTTCCCACAACTCCAAGAGTTTATTGTGATAAGAAAGTAGCCGTGACTATTTCTTGACCCGGCCTAAGCTCTTGACGGTGTTGGCTGAGAATTTGGGGAGTTCCCCCTCCAATACACGTGGATCTCCTCTCCCTGTGACCCACACATTTATTAGCTCTGCCTGTGGAAGGCCCAGTGAGTGTATAGCTGAAGCAACATTTCAACACATCTGATGCTGAGGTCCTTTGCCCTGCTATTATCTGAGTTCCACCCATAAGTTACGCCACATCGGCCTGATGGGTGACAGCTAACAATTAAGTTGTCATCCCGATTAAACTGAGCAGGAGGGAGATTGCCCATTGAAGGACGCAACGGAGCAATGACAGGATTGCAAGTCAGAAGTTTTGAAAATAACTGGTGTGCAGGCAGGACAGCAAAGCACGTCACAACAGCTTCTCCCGGGGTCAGGTTTCCCGCTTGGGGTTGGGACTACAGTCTCCAGAATTCCCAGCCAACAGGGGAAATGAAAAAACCAAAGGATTCTGCCGGAGACTCTTCTAATCTGCTCTCCAACCTTCGTCCCCTGACGTGAGGTAAATTCCCTCACCTCAGAAACTTGCAAGGTTGACCTGGAACTTGCAAGATTCTCCTTCCTGGGTCACCACCCACATTGTAGTAAATAAATAAATCAAATCATGCATAATTGAAGATCCAGTCAAGTCGCATTAGTGGATCTCGCGATCTCGTTGGCTCGAAGCACCGATCTCTTTGTTCTTTTGCTTCCCTTCCTCCTCAGGAGTGCAAGCCCAAATTGTGGAGAAGCGTGGTTGTTCAGAAAGAGAACACGCTCTTAATAGAAGACGTGCAGGAGGAAGACGGTGGAAACTACACCTGTGAGCTGAAGTTCGAAGGGAAGCTGATCAGACGCACCACTGAACTCAAAGTTACAGGTAAGTTCTGCAGCTCACCTGTGAGTAAGCTTCCGGCGTGGATTCAGAAGACAATGCTCACACCGGGGGTGGCCTCAGAAAATCGATGGCCTGTCTTATTCCTTCTTGACTTACTGTGGTTTATGTGCCAGACTGGCAGCTTTGCAGGATCAATGAATCCAAGAAAGGAAGACTTGTCCAAAGGAATAGAATAGAACATCAGAGTTGGAAGGGACCTTCTAAGGTCTTCTAGGCAGGAAACTCTATACAGTTTCAGACAAATGGTTATCCAACATCTTCTTTAAAGACTTCCAGTGTTGGAGCATTCATAACTTCTGGAGGCAACTTCTGTTCCACTGATTAAATGTTCTCACTGTCAGGAAATTCCTCCTCAGTTCTAGGTTGCTTCTTTCCTCCTTGATGAGTTTCCACCCGTTGCTTCTTGCTCTACCCTCAGGTGCTTTGGAGGATAGTTTGACTCCCTCTTCTTTGTGGCAGCCCCTGAGATATTGGAAGGCTGCTATCATGTCTCCCCTGGTCCTTCTTTCTATTAAACTAGACATCCCCAGTTCCTGAAACTGTTCTTCATCATATGTTTTATCCTCCAGTCCCCTAATCTTCTTGGTTGTTCTTCTCTGCACTCTTTCTGGAGTCTCCACATCTTTTCTACATCGTGGCAACCAAAACTGGATGCCGTATTCCAAG